CTAGAGGCTGAAGGGTCACTAGATTCAGGATTCCCCCGGGCCTCAATGCCATGCAGGCCAGATCTGAAAGGGTGGTAATACTCAAACCGGTAATACTCATTCTGAGGGGTCCACCTCTGTCGTTGTGGGGAGAATCAGACTAGGTGCTAGATTATGATAAATGCAGGTGGGATAAGCGGGGCTGTCAGGCTTGGAAACAACGCTGCCAGTGGGACAACCAGGCAGTGCAAGCAACCGAATTAGGACCTGCAGAACTGGGTCCGGACATTACTTAAGAGCCAAGTTCATCCCCAGGTAGGAAAGTTGCCATTAATGCCATCCTGGTGATTTGCTACTTCTGATGGCAGACAGGACATATGAAGAAAGAATGTACTCATGTCTGGAAAAGTGCTCCCCCCAACCAATTTGATGGTGCCAGTGAGGGGCAAAAGGAAGAGAGTTCAAGGACCCTTTTACCCTGGCTGTAGTCAGATGGGGTCCAAACCTCCTTAGTAGGACACAAGGATGCTCCTTAAAGGTCAATTCACCTACAGTGCATAAATGGTTATATGAAAACATACCCTAGGCAACATTTGCAATTGTCCGTGGAGACACATACCAACGTGATAACTGTAGCTCTGGTTGAGAAATTGGCCTACCCCATAATCATAGGCCAGGACTGGCCATTTGTTTTTTTGACAAAACAGTAACAAACAGGCCCGCCCAGTGAATGGGGTCCAGGTCCACCGTTGCAGAATGAACCCCAAAGCCTGGTTTTGGAAGACCCTGAGGAGAGAACATCATGAGCAACATGATCATCCTCCCCCATAGGGAAGGAAGAGATAATCAACCTGGACCTGGAAGCTCTCCTACAGGGTGGGAGTCTTGTGCAGAAACAGAGGAGCGACCCTTCACTGAGTAGTGCTTATGACCAATAGGCCTCTGTACATGGGAAAGTAATGGAGCTTTGTCAAGCAGCATCCATGCTTCATGCTCGAGGAAGGGAACCTGTGCTGAATTGAAAGAGATCCACAAACCAGGACCGTAAAGACAACTGCTGGTGCAGTGCAAGTATCGCCGGACAGTGTTGCAGCTCTCACGTGACAACCATAGACTGGACACCTGGGAAGAGAAGACACTGTCACGGGTACTAGCTTGATTCTATTGGCTGAGCATGCATCTGGAGGTGAGAGAATACTGTTCCTCCTGCCCACCACGCCAGCTGTCTGGTGACAAAGGGACTCCCAAGGCCCCGTTGGTCCCTCTGCCACTGATTGAGACACCATTTGAAAGACGGGTTAGACATCATCGGGCCCCTGGAAAGGAACACATCTGGGTACCAGTACATTTTAGTAATTGTCAACTATGCAATCACGTACCAGGAGACTCTTCCACGTCTCTCAGCAAAAGCCACAGCAATAGCATCAGAGCTCCTGAAGCTCTTCTCACGTGTGGAATTTCCCAAAGAAATACTACTGGATTTGGAGACTTACTTCATCTCCAGGTGATGATACTGGTTTTGTGCTGTTCCTCTCTGCCAAATGCAGCTTACAGTAAGCAGACACAATTCTCGGGGAACCCGTTATAGCCATGTTATACTTGGCATAAGAACTGAAACGTTGGCGTGGAAAAGTTGGTTTTGAATCTACCTGGAACCTCCTCTATTCAGGGGCTGACTGATGGCCTGTTGGCCCCCAGTGTAAGTTAGAGCAGCCCTGAAACTGCTCTATATAGACTCCGCTTCTGAAACAATAATTTAGGATAAGGTCCAAATGAACCGTGTTAGCAGCTAGGATTAGCTGGGATTCCAGCACTTCACCCTTGCTCTCTCCTTTCTGGCCATTCCCCACACCCGTGTGCTAGAGGTGATATGCAGTAGAGTCACTAAACTGGTTCTATTCTACCAAGAAAATCCTCTTGTGCTGCAGTATTCCCTAGTGACATGATTCACCTTCTTTACTGCCATAAAGTTCCCACTGTTGGAATGGTATAACAAAGCTGTATGGTAATGGACCATCGGGCCCAATGAAATCAATGAGAATTTCACCTGCTCCTACCAGTGCTGAATTGTAACTCACCAGAATACAAAAGCAGTACACACACTTACACCCATTTTCTGATCAATTTACACCATTTCTATCCCTGCTCTTAGGCCCTCAAAAACAGAAGTGCAGGAGGTTGACTGGACATCTGATACATTGGGATTTATGTTTTGTATGGTTGATTTACATTTAGTCTCAATAGATTAGCTTTGATGGGACCAAAACTACACTGGTATCAAGAGTTTCACTGGTATAACTTTTCTTAAAAAAACAAACACCAAAAAACCCAAACAGGGACTCACTAAAATAGGAAGACTTTTGCTATTCTGTCTCTGTTAGTAATAATGATTTTGCACCATATATCTAGATCAGGGGTCGGCAACGTTTGGCACGCGGCTCGCCAGGGTAAGCACCCTGGCGGGCTGGGCCAGTTTATTTACCTGCTGATGTGGCAGGTTCGGCCGATCGCAGCCCCCACTGGCCGCGGTTTGCCATCCCGGGCCAATAGGGGCGGCGGGAAGCCGCGGCCAGCACATCACTCGCCCGCGCCGCTTCTCACCGCCCCCATTGGCCCGGGACAGCGAACCATGGCAAGTGATGGCCGCGATCAGCCGAACCTGCCGCGTCAGCAGGTAAATAAACTGGCCCGGCCCGCCCGGGTGCTTACCCTGGCAAGCCGTGTGCCAAATGTTGCCGACCCCTGATCTAGATGCTGAATATGACTCGCATTAAATTTAGGCTATAATGTTTCAGAATTTGTTGGTGTGTATGCTTTTGGTTTTTTTTGCCATTTCAGTATCATGTTTTAATGTGCATGGAGATGATCTCTATGCAGCTTCTATTCACAACATCATAATCCTTTACCATGAGAATTCTCAATGACAGCACATAGAGGATTTATCTAAATCTGCAACAGGAACTGAAAATATAACTAGCATAACATCCTCTGTAATCTAAAATTAAGTCAAAAGAACAAGAAGACTGGCCACTTGAAAAAATATGAATTACAATGTAAAATAAATATCACCACCTAAGGGATTAGCGTATCTAAACAGACACTCCAGGAGGCAATGTATTTGAGTGATTTTCACATTTGTGTGTGATAAGGTACCAGACCAAAACATTGACACAATTTAACCACCAGAAAAGTGCAATTAATCATGTACACTTGCAGGGCCTTATAGTCTGATTATAGACAATTTGTTTCATAAGAGTAAAATAAGGCTATAGGCCACGGCCAGGGCATTAACTGGATATTATTGACACTGGCCTTGCATCACTGACAGGGAGTCAGAAAACTGTTTTTGCATATCTGTATATCTATATCTATATAAACCATTTTATAATTTAAAATATTGACACTGGTTAAGCATTTTATGTTTCAAACATAGCAGTAGACTATTTACAAAGTTCTATACTGTGCCAGAGCAAGCAACCCAACACTGGAATCCCAGCTTTAAAAGAGTGGGTTTTACTGCGCAGCTAATAGACAGTGTGTGGTAGGAGAGGAATGTGTCACAGTAATGCAGAGAGCTGTAATGATGTCAACTTGTTATTTACTTTCCAAAGCTGAATGACTGAGCAAGGCGAAAGGAGAATCAATCAACCACGATGTGACTCTACAGGCGAAAAAAACACAGCACTCTCACCAGAAAGAGGTTGGGGGAAGGGAAGCACATGTAACCAGGGCAATGTTGCATCATTTACTTGCATTGGTTTTTATATTGCTCCCTTCTTTTCTCGATTGAATGTAATATCTCAGTATCAAGCTGTACAAATCCAGAGAAAAATAAGAAGGGCATGTTCAAGGCAAAAGAACAGCAACATTTTTGGGGGTGTTGAATTTCAACTGATATATAATAAAATCCATTCTGCTGATTCACAATTATGGAGACTGTGTAAATCCACATTTAATGTGCTCTAATAATGTTATAGAAACAGTAGTTTTACATCACTCATGTTTTATAATAAGATATATAAGAATTTATTTTTGCTTATGTACTCTTTTGATTGCTGAGCTCCACTATTTTAAAATTTGAAAAACACCCATTGTCTTTTGATCAGATTGTTATGTTTCAGATTACTGAGAATTAGGCTCTTGCTGTCTGGCATATTATAGAGGAAAACACTTAAAAAAAATTGGAATAGGTAGAAAAATAGAAGGTGGTTCAGGAGTATTTTTCCAATTGGGTTAACTAACACATGAATGGTTTGGTGTTCAATAACTAAACATTATTACCATATCTACTTCCTGGGAGGGTTGTGGAAATGTAAATAAGATTTATTTTAAATTGACTTTTTCAAAACTGATTTTTGTGAATATTTTCAGATTTGAAATCCGAAGACACTTTCAGCAGTCTGAAACTTGCAAAATAATAATAGTGTGCACTAATACATAATTTAATACAATTAATGTAAACTAAGCTATCCCCAGACAGTAATGGGAATATAGTATATACTCATATCTATTTACACACTATCACAGACAAACTGTATGTGTGTTTGTATGCGGGGAGGGAGAGGAGTGTTCATGCATCTTTGACATTTTTTATTGCTGAGTCCACAGGGTTAATATTTCGTTTTTCTAGTAGATGGGGGAGGGTTGATTAAAAAAAAATCCCTGGGATTCAAAATAATGACAAAAATAAGCCTTAAGTGATTAAACAAGTTACCTTAGGTTCTTGGAAGAAAAAACAAAGCATTTTTTGGGTAGGCGTGCTTTTTTTGTTTGAAGTTTTCTGGGGGAGTGTGGGGACTGATTTTGGAGGAAGGGAGAGGTATTGAGAGAGGGTTTGTGTGTGTGTGTGGCTACCTTCCCCTAGTTCAGGTCAATGTGGCTGGTTGGTTCCCCCCCACCCACTCCAGGTCACTGACTATCTCTGTGTGTCTTTCTCTCAGTCCTCCTGCTGCTGCTGCTGCTTGTCTCTTGGAAGCCTTAGACACACACTCACACCAAACACATTAACTCTGCTAATGAAGTAGTGAGCAGCAGCACCTCCTGACCGCCATTCCGCACCAAAAACTTTCCATTTTCCTCTTCCCACTCTCTGGGACTTCCTTTTGATTTTGCTGTGTGGAGGAGGAGGAGTGTGTGTGTGTGGTGGTGGGATTTACAGTCTCCTTTAACGCTTGCTGGGACCTAGGAAAAGAAGAGTTACACCATGTACTGCAAGTGAAAAAGTCTCTGTGTGTGTTTCTTGCAGAAGTTGAGGCTTTTCTCTGCTGCTTCCAGAAGTGAAAGCTGTGCCTTTAATACACGTTGAGTGAGGTGAGTTTGGAGGACTGATTATTCATCATTTGGACCTTTTTGTGTGCGTCTGTGACATGCAGTTTAGTGATTAAAACGGCTTGCCTTTGCCATATTTTTCAGTGCATGGAATCAATTTCCTCATGTTTCTCTCTTCTTATTATTTGTTTCTTTTGTATCTGATTCTGCTGGATTTATGGCTGTTTCTTTTAGGATTTCCCACATTTTGCTGTGTGTGTTTCTCTCAAGTGTGTCATGATTGTGTGTGTGTGTGTGTTTTACCCTAAAGTGACTGGAAAAGGCTAGAAAGTCTTGCATCGTTGGAAGGTTTATTATGAATGTTAATTCTGCTGGAGTTTCTAAACCCTGGTTAAGGCAGAGAGGAGTAACACAATGTGTTGGCTTTAGAAATATTCCTCTGAATGAGGGAAAGGAGACTTGTTTGTTTGGAGGTTTGTTTTTTGATTTGTGCAGGGGAAGGGTTAGTGAGTTTGGAAGGGAGTTTTTGAAATGATAACTTAGCCTTAAGATACTCACATTTCCCCTTAGTATTTCACTAGCAAAATAAAAGGTATTCACACTGTAGAGAGTGTGGAGTTTGCACAACCCAGGGGTGGGGGAGGGGAATCCCATTCATCTAGTGTTTGAACCAGCAAGCACAGGAGTTGATCACTCTCTGGTAAATCGAAGTTTAGCTCCAAGTAGGTAAACAAGTTAATTTTTGTTTATGATTTGTAATACTGTCATTAACTGAAAAGCAATCCTTTAACAAAGTGATGGACCAGTGCTGGCGTTATGGGAAAAATATGTGTGACTTGTATTACAAGCAGAGTACTACTGCAGTGTTTGCAAGAAAATAAATTTGCAGACCTGTTGCATATATATTGAGGCAAAAATAATACGTGCTTGATCATTTATCATTAACACATTAGGACAACAGGACACTTCTACAAAGTTAGTGTGCCCAGCATAGATACTTAGCAGCACAGGATAGTGGGCACGTTCCTCCCAACTATAATCCTTTTATGATTCTGTTCCTATTTTGTGTTGGCTGTTTTAATCTCAGCAGTTTATTTTGTTTTAAATGGGTGTGAGGTCAAGTAGTATTGCAGTATGTCATGCTAATGACCCTTGGCCTATTTAATGACATGTTGTTCAATTCTCAAATAGGCATATTGCACACAAAACCACACCCTAAAAGTTGGACTTATAATAGATACAATTTTCTCACAAAGTCTGGCCTCTTCATGTTGTCTTAAAAGATCTTTCACCTTCCTGCATGAGGATTTTGTATTATTGGTGTGTTTGCCCCCTCTCCCCCTACAATTCACGTTTAAAGTAGGAGGCAGGGGGAAAAGCAATCTATTTTGTAGGGCCACCTGAAATGAAAAGAAAACAGGTTAGCATATTACACAAGAAGGCTTGTAATGTCACATCTTTCTCCTTGACCCATTTATTAGTGAACCTTTAACTGAGACTGCTCACACAGCATGTACAAGATTAACTGCAGTAAACCTTGCTTACCACATAATAGCACATGGTGGATTTAGGCCTCTTGGTTGGCCTAGAACTATATGGACAAGGTGTTACCAAACATGGAGACATCTCACAGTTTTCAAATTAAATAATTCCTTTTTCTGTAATATCAAACAGGATTGGAGCAAGAGCACTATTTCAGATTTCTTAATTTTCTTTTCTTTTTTGTAAATGACAGTTAATAATTGCAACATCACAAATACAGTCATATTCAAATAGGGAACCCTTCCCCTGTAGATCTGGCAGTGGGGGTGGGGTGGACAGAGAAATAGACTCTCACATATTAAAAATATATTAAACCTTTCTTGGGCTACATGCAGTAACTGGCAGAGATTTAAACAGAGCTACTGTATCTCAATATAAGTGTTTCAGAGGGCCAAAGAACAAACAGACCATTTTTAAGTTTAAAAAGTCTGTCTTAGTACTAAAGAGGATAATAATTATACATGCATATAAACATTGGCAGCTGCATAATAGTCCAAGTGCCCTTAGGAGAAGAAATCTCTGGCAGTAAGTTGTCTTCTGTATCCGCCCCCGGCGCCCCCAAGTAAGTTACTTATATATCCTACATTTATCATAATGATATTGGGACTTTACCTTCTTGCTCTTTCATTGCATGGACCATAAATCCCTCTGAAGTCTTATAAGGCTAGGTTTTTTATACTCTTAGTTTTGAGGGTGGCGTGTAGAAGAACTTTTCTCTCTTTCAGAACCCTGAGATGTCCTCTCCGCCAGTTTTTCCTGTGTTCCATTCTCCTACTTATTTATAAATGAGTTTTTCCCCATCTCTGTAGTTACAGGGCCAGAATCAGATCTATCCTTCAAAGGGTGATAATATGGCCTGCCTCTTTGGAAGAGCGGTGGCTCCTTAGACTGCAGCAGTTCTCAAAAGCCAACATCCTTGAAGCTGAAAAGGACTGGATGAGACATCCTTTGGAGTTAAATAATATTGTTTCTTAATGGTACAGTTTGGTCAGTATTGAGGTATGCAGGAATACTCAGCAGTATTCTGAGCTCTGGTCATCTGGAGAGCAAGGCACCAGACTGGGAAAATTGACCTAGCAATTCTGTATGGTAGTGCTTGGTCCCTGGATCAGCGTACTTTTAATATTTTCTGTTATTTCCTACTGTTTTCAAATCAGGTGATAGAATTTACACTCTAGATGATTTTGCATGTATGTATGTATGTTTATTTGGCCCCAAGTGAACACATACTAAGAGTTAGTTTCCACCTTGAAGAGTTTATAGTCAAAATAGACAAGACAGACAAAGGGTGGACGGGAAAACAGAGACACAGAGAGAGGTGAAGTAACTTGCCCAAGGTCATACAGGTCAGTGGCAGAGTTGGAAGAGAACCCAGCCGGAGCTCCTGACTCCCTGTGCGGTGCTCTATCCATTGTCTCTAAATCTCTTTGTGGGTGTGATGTTGAACTGTGGCACTCTATGGTGGTTTTATGATAAATGACAGGTTTCAGAGTAGCAGCCGTGTTATTCTGTATCCTCAAAAAGAACAGGAGTACTTGTGGCACCTTAGAGACTAACAAATTTATTAGAGCATAAGCTTTCGTGCATCCGAAGAAGAGGGTTGTAGCCCACGAAAGCTTATGCTCTAATAAATTTGTTAGTCTCTAAGGTGCCACAAGTACTCCTGTTCTTTTTATGATAAATGAGTCCATTCAGTCTGGGGAAGGAGTAGATTTCCTGCATCTTTGCTGTGCATTTTGCCTGCCTTGAGTTTTCATTATTTTTTTATTATTTTAATTTGTAGTACTATTTTAATACTGGCTGGTTATACTCCAGCCAACCTTGTAAAATCACAAAGAATTTTTAACTCTCATGAGCAGGCTTTTTTTTTTTTTTTTTTTTTTTTTTTTTCTTTTTTCCTCTTATTGAAATTTTTTTTTTATTCTTTTTTTCAGTTGCTAAATTAAACTTAAGTCTCCCTCTCCCCCCTCCCTCCCCCCCCGGACTATTTTTAGTTAGAAGGAAATAGCTGACCTCTTTGCAGTAAGAACACAGAGCCCTTGGGTTCCATTTATAGGTTTTTACCAAATGGCCTACTTGGACAAGTTGGTTGAAATTAAACAAAAACACTGGAACTACAGCCCTGCCTAGGAATAACAGCCTCTTCTGAATATACATAATTTAACTTGAGTAAATCTGAGAGAAATATCTGAAGGTGAAAATGTGGCTTTGGGGCATTCTTCTCCCCTTTGGTAGATGAGTCAGCATTGTAGGGTATTTGTGGCAATCTGAAAGTTAATATTGTGAGATTTCATTTAAAATTGATTTATGTAATTTATATACAGTGTTAAGAATGCAAAGAGTCCCACTTGCACTGTACTTATGTGGAAGTAAAGAAGGATATCTGTTTTCATAGGGAAGGATAATATTTCCCTTCACCTTCTCTCACATCAAACAGAACGTACCCTAACAGAGATTTCAGAGTTGTACCTATTAAAACATGGTAGTTACACAGCTGTGTGAAACCTGATTTTGCAAGCTGTTTGTGTTGGCTCTTATAGTTTCAGGTCTAAACTTATATGTAGGCTTGGAAGGATTAGATTTTTGTTGGTAAATGTAGATTTCACTGTACACACACAGAGATGAAAAAATATTTCCACAGATGATGGCAGAAATTTACAGATAAGTTGTTTTTACTTTTCCTGAGAACTTATTAGAGTTTACTTAACTTTGTATATTTTGACATCGTAATGTTGCCAATTTGTGTTTTAATGGCTATGAAACCTCATCTTTTTGAATCTCAATGCCTACTGTCATTAATTATTGTCTGACTCCCCAGTGATTTATGACAAATGTAAAAATTTAAATTGATAAACATCTAAAAAAATTAAAAATAAACTACCCATATACAAAATTATTAGGGCTATCAAACGATTAAAAAAATTAACCGTGATTAATCGTGTGATTAAAAAAACCCCTCACTATTATTTGCACTGTTAAACAATAATAGAATACCATTTATTTAAATGTTTTTGGATGTTTTCTACATTTTCAAAATATTGATTTCAATTACACACAATAGAAAGTGTACAGTGCTCACTTTATAGCTATTTTGATTACAAATATTTGCACTGTAAAAAAGAAACAAAAGAAATAGTATTTCAATTTACCTAATACACATAGTGTAGTGCAATCTCCTTATAATGAAAGTTGAACTTATAAATGTAGAATTATGTACAAAAAATAACTGCATTCAAAAATAAAACAATGTAAAACTTTAGAATCTACAAGTCCACTCAGTCCTACTTCAGTCAGTCGCTCAGACAAACAAGTTTGGTTACAATTTGCAGGAGATAATGCTGCCCCATGTCTTGTTTTCAATATCACCTGAAAGTGAGAACAGGCGTTCGCATGACACTGTTGTAACCGGCATCGCAAGATATTTATGTGCTAGATCTGAGAGCATTCTCCACACCTGGTCCCTCTCAGATTTTGGAACGCACTTCAGATTCTTAAACTGT